ATAAAAATTTTACCAAATATTTGACCCTGCATAGAAAAATCTTTTTGTTTTAATCCTCTGAAATTAGTTTCCTTATTAATCATCACGTTTCAAGACTTGTTTTGTCTTTGCTAACCTTTCTTTCAAGGTACTCATTCATGATATTCTTTGCTGGACAGGGGAAAGGAGGTCCTATGTGGGTAATAAGTCACATCTGGAATATCATAGACATGGTAACATCAAAGTATGCACGTTCTACAAACCATTCGAAGAGTAGCTGATTTGACGTGCAACAGATTAACACACCATTTGGGATGTCACATACAACCGCAGAGTGCTGAGGATAAGTCCCACCTCTGCTTCTCCTCCATTTTCATACCAATTCTAGTGGGAGGCAGATGATGACCATACTCGGCCTCCCCTCGTGGTCATTGCGTTTCCCTTTTTTCTCTCTGGTCTTTTCCTTCTCTGCCTCTTCTCATCTTTCTCGCTGGGGTGCTCTGCAGTGAGACACGGACGAATCCTCTTCCTAACCGGGCCCGTGCCTTTCTTCTTCTGCCCACGGTGCTCCATTTCTCCCTGCCTGCCGCCGACACTGCTGCACAGCTGGTGTCGGTGCCTCACTTTTTCCCCAAAGTCGTTCCTGCAGCTTATGGCCCAGGCCGCCTTGGGTCTTTCTGCTCAAGGTTACCACATCCCTCTTTAAAAATTCTGCCAAGAAAGAGAAGATGCTTTACCCGACTCTTGGGCCGTTATCTCACGGCGAACTTTCTGACCAAGTATACAGCTACCCAGATGGCCTTGAAGTGCTGTATAGGGAGCAGTTCCACTTCAACTTGGGAACCTAGCTGATGAGAGGGGGTTCCATCTCCTAACTTGTCCATGTGCATTGACTGGAAGCTGGAAGAGCAGAAGAGGTGTCCTCCAGGCACTCCAGTAATGGAATACTGGTGTCCCAAATGATGGCTTAACTCGCTGGACCACAGCACCCTTTCCCCAAAGTAATGCCTTCATGGCTTCCTTGGTGTGACCTGAACTAATTTTGGAAAGTAAACTTGACCTGAATCTGGAAAAAAAAAGAAGAATAAGAAGATGATGTCTGAAGTATTTTGATGATGCCAGCCACATGGGAGTCCCAGATGGAATTTGTTGGTCTTGGGTTTAGACTAGCACAGCCCTGGCTGTTGCAAGTATTTGGTAAATAACCCAGAGGATGGAAGATAGCTCTCTTTGCTGCTCTTTCAAATATACAAATATAAAAATATTTTTAAGGGTTCATAAAATTAAAATAAATATATGATTTTATTTTGGTGCAGTAACAATTTGGAATTCATAAAATGCATTTTTAGCTTACACACTTTCCATATATTAAAAAAGTCTTTTTTGCCAAAAAACTATACCAAAGTAAACTCATACTTTTAAGTCTCTTTCCATGTGCTTTCCAAATCTCCCCATGTTTCACCCAGTGCAATGTAGGGCAGCCACAACTGATGTTCCCATCCAGGCAGTAGACTTACATTCTGAGTATTTATGGAGCCTGAAAATAAATTTTGATGCAATTTTAATTTAGAACCAGAGTGAAAAGTTTAGAATACAGTGAGAGTGGACATGAGTTTTAAGTACTCTTTTTCTTTAGGTTTTTTTTTTTTTTTTGACAGGCAGAGTGGACGGTGAGAGAGAGAGAGAGACAGAGAGAAAGGTCTTCCTTTTGCTTTTGGTTTACCTTCCCATGGCCGCCATGGCTGGTGCACTGCAGCTGGTGCATCGTGCTGATCCGAAGCCAGGAGCCAGGTGCTTCCTTCTGCTCTCCCATGTGGGTGCAGAACGTAGCACTTGGGCCATCCTCCACTGCACTACTGCGCTATAGCAGAGAGCTGGCCTGGAAGAGGGGCAACTGGGACAGAATCCGGCACCCCGACTGGGACTAGAACCTGGTGTGCTGGCACCGCAGGCAGAGGATTAGCCTATTGAGCCACAGCACTGGCTTCTTTAGGGTTTTAAGCTAGTTGACTGAATAACAAAAAAGTAAAGTTTAGACAAATATTCTTCTTAAGTGTTTTTATTGAGTTTTAGAAATCCTGATTAAAACCACTTGCTAGTTAAATATCTTCATTGTCCCAACTTGGAGAAATGAATGTCTAGGTTATACTCCCATGCAGTGTTGGTTAATAGTTTCTGTAATACCTTTCAAAAAGATTATTGACTACATTTTGCCCTATTTGAAAAATTAAATCAATGAAAATGAAAGATAAATTATGTATGTGGGGATTATCCATAAGAACACCGGTAAAATTTATGATCTGCAATCTCAGTGTGCAAAGTTTTCCTCATTTAGACTGTTTAGCCTTGGCTTTCTTTCCCCTTTATTATGATATATCAGTGTGAATCTTAGAGATTGTCATGCTTTCTCTTGTCCAATGAAAGCTGGGTTAGATTAGCACTTCTCTACATAAGATTCTAGATTCCTGAGTGCTTCTTAAGCTAGTTATGGGGGTCTGTGTGCTTGAGTCACAATTTGAATGAAAATAATTGGTAACTAAAATGTTAACATTATTGTCATTAGCAGTATTACTAAGTATTTTCTTTTTATCTTATTGTTCATTTTATTCTTATTGGCTTTTGATGTTTTGAAAATTTACAGCATAAAACTGGGAAACTATGGACTGTTGTGCATTTGAAGGTCTATATATTTATTTAAATTTCATGTCTGTGAACAGTGCTAGTATTTCCTTTGCTTTGTTTATAAGTACAATCAAATTACACAAGGAAATGACAGCTCGCAATGCATGTACCTGAGTGTAGACAGGCAATCTAAACAGTAAAGTTGGGCACTCTGGGTTTATTGGTAAACAGTGCCAAGTCTATGAGGGAATGGATAACAAACATCTTTAGCTTCCAATCAGTGAAATTTCTTTTAAAAGTCCAAAATTTGGGGATTGGCATAGCGGTGTGGTGGTTAATGTTGCTGCTTGTAATGCTGGCATCCCATATGGGCACTGGGTTGAATCCCAGCTGCTCTGCTTCTGATCCAGCTCCCTGCTAATAGACCTAGGAAAGTGGTGGAAGATTGCCTAAGTACTTGATCCCCTGCATCCACATGGGAGGCCCAGAAGCCTCTGGCTCCTGGCTTCAGATTAGCCCATTTCCAGCCATTATGACCATTTGGGAGTGAACCAGTAGATGGAAGATATCTCTCTCTCTCTTCTTCTCTACCTTTGCCTTTCAAATAAATAAATACATCTTTAGGGAAAAAAGTCTGGAAATGAACAAGTGCAGATGTGTTGTGTTATTCATAATGTACAACCTTAAAATAAGTAAGAAAGGACTCTGAATCCTGGATGGTACAGAAAGAACATGGGATTCATAGGAGATTGCTTAGCCTGAACAAGGGCAAATTGAGAAGATTTTGGAAATATGGAATTAAAAGATAAGTATTCTTGCAAAATATTTAAATCCAGGTATAGTTTTACAGTCCATATTTTCTATCAATGTTTAAGACTCATCATGTCATCCTAGAGCTTCTCATGAAAACACAGTATTATATTTTTCTAATAGAAGAATTTTCTATGAGCATCACAGTTACCTGATTTCATGAATATTTATTGTTGTAATTTTTTCCACATGTCAGACATGTCCTAGAAACAAAGTGGGGGAAGTGACTGGGTCTTTTCTTTGCCCATTCCTTTCATTTAGTCTTGCGTACTCCCTTTAATATTTCATTGACCTACTGGAAACAAAGGCCAGTTGCCCCAAAATCACCTAATTGTCATCTTTTTCTCTGGATTCTCTTATGTTGTCCTTGAATGTTTTACTCTAGAGCCTGAAAATCCTTCAGAAATGTAGTTTTAATTTTTATTTTTAATATTTTTTTGACAGGCAGAGTGGACAGTGAGAGAGAGAGACAGAGAGAAAGGTCTTCCTTTGCCGTTGGTTCACCCTCCAATGGCCGCCACGGCTGGCGCAATGCGGCCAGCGCAGCATGCTGATCCAATGGCAGGAGCCAGGTACTTATCCTGGAATCCCATGGGGTGTAGGGCCCAAGCACCTGGGCCATCCTCCACTGCACTCCCGGGCCACAGCAGAGAGCTGCCCTGGAAGAGGGGCAACCAGGACAGAATCCGGCGCCCCGACTGGGACTAGAACCCAGTGAGCCAGTGCCACAAGGTGGAGGATTAGCCTAGTGAGCTGCGGCGCCAGCTCAGAAATGTAGTTTTAAAGCTAAGTTTTACAGGCTTCAGTTAAACATGTTTCACTGGAAGATAATATATCTATGAAGTATGTGAATCACATACTGCAATGCTAGAAGAGTGGGTCTTCCAGATAAAATGCAAGACACACTAATACTGTGTGGAACATCATCAAACCAAAAATAGCATTGCTTAGCAGAAATTCAAATTTAACTATGTGCTTCATCTTTCTAAATGTTACCACTTTGTTCAAACGACATATAAAAGCTTTTCAAATTAACTAATGAATTGATGACAAACTGCTGCTTATACTGTATCATGATTAGTCCCCTTTTAACCTAGGGTGTGAGGATATTTTGATATTTGCACTTCCATCAACCAGTTATCTATCAGTCCAATTAGTTATACTTACTATTGTGAAGTCTATACATGTATAGGCTTCACAAAATACTTTTTAAATACAGTTCTATCTGTATTACCACAGTAACATTTTAGGGAAGAGAAAAACTTCCCTTGTCAGCTGTGGCTATTAGTAATTTCAAACTATAGTTTCTAGTTGAAAGACAGGCTCAATGCTTCTATAACAATAATCACTTCTTTATCTTTTCTCGAGTGGCCACAGCTCAAGCACCATGATTCCAAAGGGTAGGATTCCTTGTGTGATGAGACTAGATTGATCACACTATTTGACAAAGTAATTTCATTTCTAGAAGTTTATTCTAAGGAAACAAAAGGAATAGACCACAAAGACATCTACACAGGGTGTTATTTACAGTGTTTCTTGTAATAGCAATCAATCAACAAATAAATAGAAAAACAGAGGACAACATTCACAATGCCATCAGAAAATGATTAGCTGAGTCAGTGATGGCACATGCAACCAGATTTGTCTCCTAACTAGATCTTACCATTTATTCTTATGCAGCTACTATCCAGTCTCAGCAAGACAAATGCACTTTCTAAAACAGCAGAGACTAACAAGAGACCTTAGGGCTTAAAAAAATAGTATAGAATTATGTAATATGTGGAAACATTCTTATTATCAGTATTAAAAACCCCACAGAGAAATGAGTCAGAAATGTGAAGAAAATGTAAAACACCAAAGCCAATAAATAGCCATTACACTCTCCCTCATCCTAAGCAGGTGGCTGCAGCCTCCATGTGGGATTCTCCCAAGAAGACCCGTGGGGAGGCAGGAGGGTCCCAGCAGGTGGCAGGATCCCACTGGTGAAAGGGTGCAGCCCTGGAGGAGGCCCTTGGCACCTGTACCCAGACCTCACCTCTCTGCCTATCTGGAGCAGCCTGGAGTTCCCGTCCTTGCTGTAAAGATGCTGATTTGTTGCATCTTCTGGGTCCTGTGTGCTGACGGCTATGTGAGCTGTCCAATCAGGCGCGGTGACATCACTGCCACATAATCACACTGGATTGTGACACCACAGAGTTCCAAATTCCTGGAGGAGAGAGGTTCAAGGAGGAGCCTCTGCCGCTTGGAGACTCAGGAGCTAGTGCGGCATCCGTTGTTCTCTGACCTTTTCCACCCAACACAGCCCATCTCATATGCCTGGGAATGGTGAGTGTGTGGGGCCAGGTGTCCAGAGTGGGGGAAGGGGAAGCTGGTGGTACCTGCTGGCAGGATGCGGGCTCCAAGAGGGCATCCCTGAACCTGTAGGCCCGATCTCGCTGTCCCCATAGCACACTCCTGGGTTCCTTGTGGTCTAGAAGATGCGGTCTGCCCTGGTAGGCCCCTTCCCCATTCAAAGAGATGTCTCAGCCCCAGAGCCCTCTGTGAGGAGCTGTTTCATGGCAGCCCCACGTCTCCCCCAATCGTGCAACAGGGGCAGGGTGTAACCATGGAGAAACAGTGCTGTGTGTATGGTGTGCATGCAGTTGTGGAGTTGTCATTTATAGGATTGTCAGTTCCTCTGTTCTTTGTGTGTGGGAAGCAGGATCTCAGTTTCTAGGACCCAGCCTTCTTGCGTAGCTTTCCAGGAAATATGTGTAAATATGTGGTTTTACTAAGGAGAAACAGTGTAGTGGGGCCAGGGCTGTGGTGTAGAGGGTAAGCTGCACCTGCAGTGCCGGTATCCAATATGGGTGCCAGTGTGAGTCCTGCTGCTCCACTTCTGATCCAGCTCTCTGCTATGGCCTGGGAAAGCAGAAGATGGCCCAAGTTCTTGGGCCCCTGCACCTGTGTGGGAGACCTGGAAGAATCTCCTGGATTCTGGCTTTGGATCTACCAAGTTCAGTCCATTGCAGCCCTTTGGGGAGTGAACCAGTGGATGGAAGACCTCTGTCCCTCCCTCTCTGCCTTTGCCTCTCTGTAACTCTGCCAACATTGTAGAATGCCTAATGATTTCTAAAATTTACAAGGAGGTGGAAACTCTGAGTTTGTTAAAAGCTTTTCTGTGAGACTGTCAATAAATCTTGAGAAAAGTTCCACTTTATCACATAAAATTAATCCATTTTTAGGGATTATATAAATTGGTTGTTATATATTTCAAGTAAGTAGCAAACATAATAGAAAAATGTCTTGAAAAAAATTTACTCAGCTCATGAACAAGTGTACAAAGAAATTCTCCTCTGTCACAAAACAGCAAGTACTAATTTTCCAACCTTAATTTTTCAGAAAGTATAATCTTTAACCCTAGAAGGAGTATAACAATCAGGATGCCTAACTCTATATAGAATTACCACTGTGACATGACCTAAAACAACTCACTTTACTTCTCTGGGACTTAACACTTAGCATCCTCATGTGCAGAATGAGATTTGGATAAGACAAGTTGTACTCAAGATAGACATCAAGGATCTCTCAGATTCAATAGACATCAAGGCTCCCTCAGGCTCCAAAGTGGCACTTTAAGGTATCGGTGAAAATGTAAATCAAAGCTTGCATTCTTATACACACATATATTTTAAACTATTTCTGCAAATTCAAATGTGTACCATACCACTGTTCAACACTTGGGGATAATTAATGCATTAACTCATGATGCTAAGTTGAGTTTGGTGCAGCCTTCTTTTCTTAACAGGTCCAGTAATTCACGCTTTTAGCAAATCTATACCAGATTAAAATGGTTTAGGTTTATACAAACCTTTGTTTTAATGCAAGCAATGCCTACATGTTCATGAAAAATTGAGAGTAGATACATCATGAGGGCAGGTGCTAGTCAAATGACTCAGTTGAAAAACTTAGCAAAACCAAGTAGTTAAGCAGTGGTACTATTACATATTTTCCCAATATCATGTTGTAGATAAGATTAGTACGTCTTTGAATTTGTGGTTTATTCTTCTCTGACAACCTGAGTGAGTTTAATTTGTCAGTAGAGAAGTGAAACTGTTGTAAACAGAATTATTGAAGTAATGTTAATAATTAGATGAATTTAATTTATCACAGTTTGATACCAAAATATCAGTCTTTTTATAATGGCATTATTAATATCATGTCGATTTCCATTTAAAAGCATTTTTGTAAACTAATGATGGATTTCTTAAAAAATAATTTATTTGAAAAGTAGAATCATTGAGAGAGAGAGAGAGAGAGAGAGAGAGATCCTCCATCTACTGGTCCACTGCCCCAAATGGCTGCAGGTGCCTGGTCCCAGCCAGGGCAAAGCCAAGAGCATGAGGCTCCATCAGATTCTCCTGTGTAGGTGGCTCAGATCAAGTACTTAAGCCATCACCATCAGGAAGCTGGGCCAGAAGTGGAGCTGCTGGCCTCTAACTGGCTCTGATTGGATACCAGTATCACATGCAGTGGCTTAACCTGCTGAGCCAGAGGCAAGCCCCAAACTACAAGGAATTTATCTAAATTGAACTTTTTAAATGATAAAGAATCTGTTAATACTGTGTCTCCCTGTCACCCTGAAAAAAAAATGAGGCCAGTGTTGTAGCACCGAAGTGTAAGCCACCACCTGCAAGTCCCAGATGCTCCATTTCATTTCAACTCTATGCTACTATACTGGGAGAAGCAGTGGAAGATGGCTCAAGTACCTGGGTCCCCGCCACCACATGGGTGACCCAGGTCATCGAGTTCCTGACTCCTGGATTCAGCCAGGTCCAGCCCTGGCTGTTGTAGCCATTTGAGAATATTTAAACCATAAAGATGAGAGACCTTACAATTCATGGAAAAGAAGTATGCTTGTATTTCAAGAAAATTTTGCACCACAATTAACCTACCATTCATTCAATATTTGTTGTTTGATATTGCCTAATTCAAACTAACTCCATATACATGTAAAGAAATACTTTGTTTTTCTAATGTGAAACAATTTAAGATATATTACTCACCAATTTATGCAATGTACTGCTTCCTAATAGCTCCAATTGGCATTTCAAAATGTCAATTCAGGTATTTCCGGATTATAGGTGTATTAATAAACTACTTTCAAAGATCATAATATTAGTTGTGATACTAATTTAAATATTTTAATATCCTTTAACCTTATACTACAAGTAAGATGGTGTTTTGAGTTTTTTTTATAATTAGATCTATCTATGTATCTATGTATGTATGTATGTATCTATCTATCTATCTATCTATGGGTTACAGTGTGAGATTTTAGTCCCTGGCTACAATATGTACCGATCAAATCAGAGTAAACAACATTCTCCCTTCTATGACATCACACTTCATGATCAGAGCCTTGGAACACCTTTTTCCATTTGCTAATAAAGTATGGAATACATTACTCTGGGGGTATAGTCAACCCATCAAACTATGTAACATCGAAACTCATTCTCATAATCTAACTCTGATTTTGTAGAATTGCTCCAAGTAGATTTTACAGATTTTTAATTAATTACTTTGAATGAAAAGGAGACACACAGAAAGATGGAAAGAAAGGAGAATGCGCCCACCCACTGGTTCACTTCACAAATGCCTAATAAAGGTGTGGCTGAGTCAGACCTTAACAACAGTTTAGACATGACACCCCATGCACAAGTGACAAAAACAGAAATAAGGAAGTAGGGCTGCAAAAAGCTAAATAAACAAATTCTGCATACTAAAGAAAAACTGAAAAGAGAAGGTAAGGAATGGGAGAAAATATTGGCAAACCTACTTTTATTAAGGGAGTAATGCAAAGAACATGCAGAACTCAAAAGCAAATATAATTTAAAAATTGACAAGAATCTGATCATTTTTTTCCAATGAAGATATGCAAGCAGCCAACAGGTATTTGAAAAGGAGTTCAGCACTGCTAAACAAGACCACAATGATTATCACCTCAGATATGTAAAAATGGTTATTAACAAAAAGTAAAAAAAGATAACAAGTATAAATTAGATGTGGAAAAAAGAGAACACATAAGTTGTGGAACTGAAAATTGGTATTTGCATTAATGAAAACACTCTGGACAGGCCAGTGTTGTGGCTTAGCTGGTAAAGCCACTGCCTGCAGTGCTGGTACCCCATTTGGGCATCAATTCTCAACATGTAATCTAACTATTCATGTGATTGTCGTCATCGTCATCGTCATCTTCTCCTTCTCCTTCTCCTTCTCCTCCTCCTCCTCCTTCTCCTCCTTCTCCTCCTTCTCCTCCCTCTCCTCCTTCTCCTTCTCCTCCCTCTCCCTCTCCCTCTCCCTCTCCTCCTTCTCCTTCTCCTCCCTCTCCCTCTCCCTCTCCCTCTCCCCCTCCCTCTCCCTCTCCCTTTCCTCCTCCTCCTCCTCCTTCTTCTCCTCCTCCTCCTTCTCCTTTTTTCCCAACCTGGATGACTTGTCTGTATATCTTAACCTATTTCACCTGTTTTATTATATCTTGCTGCTATTGATATATTTTCTTAAGAATTTTTTTTGACAGGCAGAGTGGATAGTGAGAGAGAGAGACAGAGAGAAAGGTCTTCCTTTTTGCCATTGGTTCACCCTCCAATGGCTGCCATGGCTGGCACGCTGCCGCCTGTGCACCATGCTGATCCGAAGGCAGGAGCCAGGTGCTTCCTCCTGGTCTCCCATGGGGTGCAGGGCCCAAGGACTTGGGCCATCCTCCACTGCCTTCCCTGGCCACAGCAGAGAGCTGGCCTGGAAGAGAGGCAACCGGGAAAGAATCTGGCGCCCCGACCGGGACTAGAACCCTGTGTGCCAGTGCCGCTAGGTGGAGGATTAGCCTAATGAGCTGTGGCGCCGGCCCCTTATGTAATTTCATTTGTTATATTAAGCCTTACTTGGGATACTTTTATCTCTGCTTATGAATAGGATACTTCTAAAAAACTTAAATTTTTATTTTAAGTCCTTGTCCCCTGTATCATCATCAAAGTAATGCTGATTTTCCAAAAGAAATTTAAAAAGCACTATGTTCCTAAATTTGTATATGTGAAATACATGAACTATGTATACCTAACATAAACAGTTTCTAGGTAAAAATAAATAAAGTTAAAGAATAATAACAATAAAAATGTTCTCTATTTCACTTTGGAAGATCTGATAAACATAGTTTTGCTTTTTATTCCTTAAAATTTGTACCATTCTGTAAATCCAGACCCAAAATTTTGAGTATGTGACTTTCTTCTTGGGTGATTTCTTGGAATTTTCAAAAAGTGATTCAGCTTTTTTGGATTCTATAGGAATTTTCA